CCACCAAAGACATTTCAATGTGCCCAGACAATGGCTCGATGCTTAAAATTCTGACGAAGAAGAAAATATCAGCAAACACTTCCATACGGAGAAAAGTTCATACCTTCCCGATATCACCTTGCCTGGTGGAAACATTTCTGCAGGGTTTTGTACAAACGAGTTCGATAGGTTCTTCAGTTGAATTCTAGCTTCAAGTGAAGGTGACAGGACCACAAAAAAACCTTTCTCCATCACATTCTTGACAAAACCCTGCAACACAAAAACAAGTCACGTCCACAGCATGCAAGGTTTCTGCTTACTTGCACTTCATATCTTGCTTACGTTCCAACACGGAATTGACAATACGAGCATTGGATGCAGAGTCAAAAAAATTTAATGCAAATCTCGGAAGTTACCTTTCAAGTGTTTGATAGCTCGGAATGGACTCAAAACCACCACGTCCACCAACTTACTGAAAGTTCCAAGCCCATCTTTCCCCTCCCTGGTCGTTTTAAATCCAAGACCCTGCACCTTACAAACTGTCCCTCTGTAAATAAAATGGCTGGGTCATCAATCCATGTATCGTTACATGAACTTTTCTGATACTTTCCCATCTGCCTTGCACAGTATGTCTGCCAACACCAGCAAAAACTCGTGTGATCCGTCGGCCTAACAGGTCGCCTTTCTTGAATTGTTCGTCACTTGTTTTTGTAGAGACAAATCCACTTGCTTCCTTTCGTGGTTAACACTTCTTATATGGCACTGGAACGGGTCACCGACTTTGAAGCGCTCTTTAAAACGTTCAAGCTCCGAGGGATCGTCAGACGTGTCCAGTATAAAAAGGCAGCCTTTAAGATGGGGTGAGAGGACTAGCCATGTCCAGTTGTCCTTTACTTCTTGAACGTATCTGATAACCGACTGTTCAATGGTTACGGTCAGTAATCACTGAGCATGCAGCATCGTTTCCTGCAAGTCATGATAAGTAAGTTAATTCAAAGGGACACCATACAGACCTGCAAGCTCAGATGGACGTAGAGATAAATCCAAAGTGGCAGCATTTCTGTGCTTTCTGCTGGTTTTGCGTTTTGAAAGGATTTTAGCTCGAACAGTCTGCCCAACACTGTATTTTCTCAATGGGTTCCCTTCTTCATAATGATCAAGACATTTGAGGAGTTAAAAGACAGACTGGAAAACAGAAACGAACCTCTGTAATGTGCACATTCCCACGCAAGGAGCAGTGGCTGTCCATGGGACATGGCTTGTCTGCCAGTCCTAGAACTATTGAGTGTTGCAGCCTCCATGAGGCGATTTCTTGGGTGATTTGTGACCTGTGCAGTATGAGAAAGAAGTGACGATTCACACAAGAATTCTACAAACATGGAGCTCAATCTTGGAAATGTGATCATGAGCATAGCAGGAAGTTTTGAGCAAGAGGACCTTGGTCTCTTGGAATGCAATGATCACTGCAAATGGCTAGAATGGGTGTCTTTTGAAAGTGCACTTGCAGTGATCATTGCATTCCATTGCTTAAGCTGTTGGATTTCATTCCGGCACCTTTTGTGAATGCATTGATCACCACCCATGGCAGATCAAGGATCCTAGCTCAAGCAAGAAACATGTTTGATCAAATCTTGTGCAAAACTGTGAGCTCCTGATCACCCATGATCTAACTGTAAGCCCAGTAAGGACAATCCAGCAAAACCTTATTAAATCTTTGCAGAACTTACCTTTATCAGTGTCTTAGCCACGCCAGCCTAACAAGCAAGATCCAGGAGAACTTTTGTATCAATCACTACAGCCACTTGATTATATTGTTGCCCATTGCATGGAGAAGAAGCTCAAACTTCTTCTATCACTGTGATACTCTACTATGAGGAGCAAGTAAAAAGTTCCTTGTTTTCTGTTTATGGACATGCTATAAAGACAAACACATCAGACTACTCAAAAAAAGTGAACTTTTTGACTAGTAATAATGTTCTTAAAGGAAAGTTTGCAAGATTTTATATTCTTCACTATTTGCTTTAAGCTTGCTGTAGGAAGAATAAAATTGATAAAAAAAACATTAGTTGAACTCTTTGAGAAGTACATATGAATCAAAAAATGTATTAAAATGAGTACATCATATAAATTTTTTATTTATGTAAAAATTGACAATATCAAAGCAAACCAAACGTTGTTGCATAGTGCAATGCAGAAAATTATATCTATTTGAGTTCGGTTCAATGCAACATATCTCCTCCCTCCAACACTCTTCCTGTAGCAACTCTCCTCCATGTCCTCTAGTGCTCCTCTTCCACATTGTACTTTTGCCAATTCTACTCTTGGATTTTTTTGTTTTTTTTTAATTTTCATCAAATCATTCTTTCTCACCCTCTAGCTCCTCTAAAACCCCTTGTGCATTGAGTCTCCTCCAGCTCCTCCATCACTCCTCCTATAACAGCTCTTCAGCTCCTCCAGCATTTCTCCTGCAACAGCTCTCCTCCAACTCCTCTAGCACTCCTCCTACAACAGCTCTCCTCTAGTAGATGGCTATGCCACGGCTAAGGCCAGCCAAGGTAGTGCTAGCCATGGCCGAGACCTTGTGCCACCATGCCTGTGCTTGCTATGGGCCATTGGTGGTGTAACTTTGGCCCTAGCTGTGTGGTTATAGATACCACAGCCAAGGACAACATCATTGGCAATCAAGGTTGCCAGTGGTTGTGGTAAGCTTGGCAAAACATTATCTTTTATGTTGAGAAAGGACCAATTCGCACATTTATTTAGTGAAAAAAAACTTAAGCCACTTTAAAAATTAAGAAAGTTGGGTTCGCACATTGAAAAAATTTGTGTTGCAAAGTAAACTTATAAGGACTTTTGCATTCGCACATGTCATAGATTTAAGTGGAAAAACACCCTCGGATTCGCACTTAAAAACAATGCATTCGAACACTTAAAATTCACTTAATTCAAATTTTGAAATTTCAAATTCAAATTCAAATGTTTAGAATTATATCCCAGCAAATTTCAAAGCAAACACGAACGCCACTGGCAAAGACAGAGGGAAAACGTGAGGTTCTCTCTAACCTCTTTCGCATCCTCTGGACTGTGCAACTCCTCACGAGGCTCCCCTTCCGCTTGCTCGGGATCACTGTAACCAACAAAGAGGTCCTGGTCCTTGAGCCTTTTCACCTCTTTCCTCCAAGCTTGGATCACCGCCCGAAGATCAGTCTCCCCAACATCAATCAAGAACAACTCTTGATGATGTTGGGAAGGTACTTTGGCTGGATCCTTTGTTTTTGATCCAAGCATCTGAACTTCATTTTAAGAAGTCCAAATGCTTGCTCAATAACAATCCAAGCAAGGTGGTGATGAAGGTTGAAAGCTGCCTTAGATGGTGTCGGGTTCGGAGCTGAGCAACAACCAAAACAAGTGAACAAAAGAAAGTAGAATGAAGAAGACTTACTTGTGTGTGGAATCATCAGATGCTGCTGGAGTTGGTACCCTTTGTCCCCCACTAGGTATGGCTTGATCCTATCATCATATGCTAACACCGCAGGCGATGTCAGCAGCTCCCTTGCTACAATCTTGTTCCTGAGGGTTGAATTACGAAAAACCCGGACGCGTCCTGAAAGCAAAAAGAACATTTTAGAACCATCCACAACACACAAAGAAACATACCTGGCCACCCAGCGTAGACACTGAGGAACCTCTTCTGGGCATCACAAACCCCTTGCAAGATGACTGAGTACCGCTGCTTCCGGTCGTAGTAGCTCTCGCCATCCAGTCTAGTAGTCGATCGCCCCAGCAACATTAGGCAGTCGGGTTCCTATTGGTCATCAAAACTTATAACAATCCAAAAAACATAAGAAAATGTACCTGTCACTTGTCGAAAGCCAGCAGTAACAGCTCGAACCTCCTTGGAGGTTGAAGGAAAATGAATCTTGTACCTGAGACACTTGACAATCGCCACAGTAGTGTCCATGAAAATCTCATGAGCTGTGGACTCCCCGATGCCGAACTTGTCCGCCAGATCCAAGTAATCTGTGTTCTTGAAAAGCTTGTCCACCAGCACCACACTCCTCCAACCAGTATCTTGCTTCCGGATCTCGCTCTCCAGCATGCCACAAATGGTGAAGAACGTCCTCTTCTCCATCTGAAGTTTCCTCTTTCACCTCCCCACATCGTAATACTCCAAAGAAAACTTACTCGAGGTGGTGACATTTCGAGGCTTCACCCACCACAAGCCGATGCAAAACTTCCTCCCAATCACAGCCCGACGAACCTCTAGTTCACGGTCTTCTTCCTCAGGCAGCGGGGCTCTTGTCATCCGCAATGTGCATTTAAACCCTAAAGCAAAGGGTGAAAGATGAGATTCCAGCGCTGTGTCTTCGTCATGAGAACATGCTGGCTGCTCCTCCCTCCCCCGCAATCTTCGCGAGATGTTTTTCCCGAACGAGATCAATCAGGAGCATGGTCTCAGCATGGTTCCAGTTCTTTCCCCGGGTTCTCTTCGCAGCAGCAGGTGCAGCAAAACCCAAGGTATCCACAAACTGGACAGCCTCGTCGTCGAGCTCCTCCATGTGAGCATCCGGGTCTTGTTCCAGATCGGGGATGCTGTCATCTCCCTCTTCTTCATGACCCCGCCGGGAGCTCTCAATCACTCATGCATGCATGCAACCTAAGAAATGTAAACTCAAAGCCATCTCTGGTTCTCAAAGCAGTTGGAGCTCCCGGCACGCTGTGCTCCAGGGGAACTCCTCCGGACGTGGCTTGGGCTCCTCCGGGCGCGGCTTGGACTCCTCCCGCTGTGGCTTCGGCTCCTCCCACCGAGTCTTGGCCTCCTCCTGGCGATGATCCATGGCCTCCTCCTCCCGGAGAAGAACCGCGGCGTCCTCCTCCTAGAGTAGAACCATGGCCTCCTCCTCCCGGGGCACCCCCTCCTCGAGGCCTCAGAACCATGGCCTAATCCTCCCGGGGCCAGATTCAGAGATCCGCGGCCAACCCCGGCCAACCCCGGCCATTCCGCGCCCTCCTCCCACTCCATGGCCACCTCTCCCTCCATGGGCACCTCTTCCTCCTCCTGTTGGTGAAGATAGAGCACGAACAGGCCCAGATCCCCATTTCCCAGAGCTCTGTTTATGGCGACTTCCTCCTCTTCCAACCCTAAAATCGGATTACCACCTCCTCAGGCCTCTCCATGTTTTAATTCTCGGGCCGGCACCTAACCTAAGAATCTTCTCGAATATTTCCGGAATAAGTTTTAAGAACTTCCCTTAAAATAAAATGACCCCAACACTCGGGGTTTTTGAAAATTACTTTAGAATCCTCTAAATTCGCCTTTTTTTTTCGTGCGAATCCAAAATACCCATAAAAAATAAGGGTAAGTACATTACTTTAGCTTAAGTTATTGTGCAAATAGGGAAAACGTAAATTTTGAACTTTAATTTCGGGTAACTCTTGGTCCAGAGCTAAACTCTTATAAACATCTCTAAACATGCTCATTTAATTAACAACCAACGAACGGAAAGATATCTTTACCAGCACTCCCCCACTAATTTTCTTTCGAAAATAAAAAACTAAAAGCAAAGAAGATATTATCAAACACTATTTTTTCAATGTTTGTTTTTTTTCTTATTTTCTACTATTAATTAACTTACAACTCAATCACACAATATTTGGAGCTGGAAGAATTGAATCCAACTTAATTTCAGCAAACTGATGAGGATGGACAATTTTTATTTTCATTTATTTTGCACTTCTTAATTTACATTTCTTAATTGTTTCTACTCTTCCTATACACACTTCTTCGGTGTATTTGGCCCATTATATTTAGCTGAAACACATGTACATGTACACTAGTACACTACGTACACTACGTACTAAGCCTATGATACACACTTGTTGCTAATTCTCAACGATTTGTGCATCTGCTGGTTGATACACACACACACACACTGTGTAGGGCTAGCTCCATCCACAAGAGAGCCTTGAGGTTGGGCACCAGAGGCTGGAAGAAGTCGTCACAGCAGAGAGCAAGCAGGTCACCACTCAGGACAAGCTCAAAAAATCTGGAAGGAAAACGTTGCCGAGGAACTGGTGAGTACGTTGCAAGAAACAAATGCCGTTGTCACCAGCTTCCACACGTCTTCAACGTGCTCTAGGAGCACAAACCCAAAGTTGGTCATGCTGCAAGCTGCCATCCATCACCTTGCTCCCGGAACATGAGGCAGTACTTCCTATCAGCAAAGAGTTTAGGTACCGGCAAGTCTTCATACTAAGGCTTATTATCTGAATCTGGGCGCTCCGTTTTGGGGCACCTGTTGCCAAGTTTAGTCAGCATTCCCCAATTCTGCTACCAAAAGGAAATTTAAATTTAAGACAACGTGTCATCCTCCTTTTGCATAGTTTTAACTTTTAAATGTTAGTTTTTTCTCCGTGAAGTTCAGGTTGACGGCGGTACTTTGACGAGGCATGCAGCGGCCCATGTTTCTACTTGACTCACGGAGGGTTTAAAATCAGGGATAACTGCAAGAAAGAGCACTGACATGTTTTCAAAAGTACTTGTCACAGGAACATCTGCCATCCTGGAACACATGAACCCGACTGGCATCTTTGCAGATGATTAGCCTTTTTTCCAGCTTAGAGATGAGAGCAGTGGCCGCATGGCAATCGTCACAAACTCGGACCTTTTGCATAGTTTTAACTTTTAAATGTTAGTTTTTTCTCCGTGAAGTTCAGGTTGGCGGCAGTACTTTGACGAGGCATGCAGCGGCCCATGTTTCTGCTTGACTCACGGAGGGTTTAAAACCAGGGATAACTGCAAGAAAGAGCACTGACATGTTTTCAAAATTTGTTGCTGAGAATGAAAGAGGAGGGCTATGTGAGCGATGTGATCAACGTTCTAAAAGACATACCTGAGGAAGAGAAAGAGAGCTAACATCCGTCCACCAGCTTCTCCCGGGCTCCCTGAAGCTGCCTTCACCTCTCATTCTCTCCACAACAGCAGCCATTTCACTGAGCATCCCCAGGTTTCCAAATATATTGGCCATCAATGTGTAGGGCATGCCGCTCTTGGGATCCATCTCCACAAGACGCTCAAACGCGAGTTTGCCGATCGTGTAATTCTTCCACTTCCGGCAGGCTCCGAGCAGGGACGTCCAAACCACTGCATCCGGTTCAAAAGGCATGGCTCTGAGAACTCTCACAGCTTCGTCAAGGAGGTTAGCTCGCCCGAGCATATCGATCAGGCATACATAATGCTCCAGACGTGGCTTGACTCCATACTGCTTGGGCATTTCATCCAGAAGCTGCCTTCCTTTCCCGACCAGACCACCATGGCTGCAAGCGTTCAACACCGAGACAAAACTCACATCGTCAGCTTTACAGCCCTCCTCCTGAGTCATGGAATAGAAACGCTCCAAGGCCTCGATCGATCGGCCCTGGAGAGTGTAAGCCTGTATAAGAGAGTTCCAGAGACCCGTGTTGTCCCGAGCTCGGCACTCGTCAAACGCTTCCTGAGCAGAATCAACATCGCCGCATTTGCCATAGAAGCTCACCAGGCTGGAGCCCAGAACTGGATTGTTTTTCAGCAGCCCCTCATGCTTCGCCAGCTGGTGAATCTCCCTCCCGAGCTTGATCGCCATCACACTCCCGCAAGCAACAAGGACGCAGGTGTAAGTGCAAGCATTAGCTTGAATGGTGTTATCAGCTCTCAGGGCAGAGTAGTACTCCAGAGCAAGTTCAGCTCGCCCGTTCGTGTTGCAGCCCTGGATGATCGCGGTGTAGGACACAACACTCCGAGTTCCCATGGAGTGGAAAATCTTGCGAGCCTCATCAAGCTCGCCACACTTGCAGTACATGTCTACCAGGCAAGTCGCCATGTACAGACCTAGATGTTTCTTCTCCTTGCTCAGTACTGAATGGACTTCCATCCCGATGCGTAGAGCTCTCTCCCTCTTCTCGCTGGATTCGGTAGCAAGTGTGGAGCAGGCGCTGATCACCGCGACATGTGTCCAATCATCAGGTTGAATGGTGTTATCAGCTCTCAGGGCAGAGTAGTACTCCAGAGCAAGTTCAGCTTGCCCGTTCGAGCCGCAGCCCTGGATGATCGCGTTGTAGGACACAACACTTCGAGTTCCCATGGAGTGGAAAATCTTGCGAGCCTCCTCAAGCTCGCCACACTTGCAGTACATGTCTACCAGGCAATTCGCCACGAACAGATCTACCTGTTTCTTCTCCTTGCTCAGCATTAAATGGATCTCCATCCCGATGCGTAGAGCTCTCTCCCTCTTCTCGCTGGATTCGGTAGCAAGTCTGGAGCAGGCGCTGATCACCGCGACATGAGTCCGATCGTTGGGTTGAATGGTGGTGCAAGCTCTCAGGGCAGAGTAGTACTCCAGAGCAAGTTCAGCTCGCCCGTTCGTGTTGCAGCCCTGGATGATCGCGGTGTAGGACACAACACTGCGAGTTCCCATGGAGTGGAAAATCTTGCGAGCCTCCTCAAGCTCGCCACACTTGCAGTACATGTCTACCAGGCAAGTCGCCATGTACAGACCTACATGTTTCTTCTCCTTGCTCAGTACTGAATGGACTTCCATCCCGATGCGTAGAGCTCTCTCCCTCTTCTCGCTGGATTCGGTAGCAAGTCTGGAGCACGCGCTGATCACCGCGACATGTGTCCAATCGTCGGGTTGAATGGTGTTATCAGCTCTCAGGGCAGAGTAGTACTCCAGAGCAAGTTCAGCTTGCCCGTTCGAGCCGCAGCCCTGGATGATCGCGTTGTAGGACACAACACTCCGAGTTCCCATGGAGTGGAAAATCTTGCGAGCCTCCTCAAGCTCGCCACACTTGCAGTACATGTCTACCAGGCAAGTCGCCACGAACAGATCTACCTGTTTCTTCTCCTTGCTCAGCATTGAATGGATCCCCATCCCGATGCGTAGAGCTCTCTCCCTCTTCTCGCTGGATTCGGTAGCAAGTCTGGAGCAGGCGCTGATCACCGCGACATGAGTCCGATCGTTGGGTTGAATGGTGGTACAAGCTCTCAGGGCAGAGTAGTACTCCAGAGCAAGTTCAGGTTGCCCGTTCGAGCCGCAGCCCTGGATGATCGCGTTGTAGGACACAACACTCCGGGTTCCCATGGAGTGGAAAATCTTGCGAGCCTCCTCAAGCTCGCCACACTTGCAGTACATGTCTACCAGGCAAGTCGCCACGAACAGATCTACCTGTTTCTTCTCCTTGCTCAGCATTGAATGGATCTCCATCCCGATGCGTAGAGCTCTCTCCCTCTTCTCGCTGGATTCGGTAGCAAGTCTGGAGCAGGCGCTGATCACCGCGACATGTGTCCAATCGTTGGGTTGAATGGTGGTACAAGCTCTCAGGGCAGAGTAGTACTCCAGAGCAAGTTCAGCTTGCCCGTTCGAGCCGCAGCCCTGGATGATCTCGTTGTAGGACACAACACTCCGGGTTCCCATGGAGTCGAAAATCTTGCGAGCCTCCTCAAGCTCGCCACACTTGCAGTACATATCGATCAATCCCGTCAACAAGTAGATGTTGCTTTTGTGCTCATCACTCTTGAGCACAGCTTCATGGGCTTGTTTTCCCAAAGAAAGGGATCTGCTCTCAGCTGAGTCTCTCACGCGGTGTATCAGCCTCCCTAAACTCACCGGTTCATCACCAGCTACAGGTGGGGTATGTGGAGATTTGTAGCGGGCCGTGGTGGCCTTACCTACAGCTGGGTCAGCGAGCGACTCGAGTTTTGCAGAGACCCAGGTTGGTGTTTTCCTGTTGGCGATCCCTCTCTCCGGTAGAAACATGTTTGAAATCCGGGTAGGACTCTGAGAAGAACTTGTTTTCCTTCTTGAACCTGTTGTCCCACCAGAAAGTGGGATCCCTGAAAAACGTTTTCCACTGTGAGATTGTTGAGAAATGACAGACACACCACACAAACCCTAGCGCCGCACGCCGATTTGTTATTCTGCACTTAACTGCGTGTTTTCTGTTTTTTCTTTTTCTAATTCTTGTCCTTTTTAAACTTCACAATGTCACAGCAGAGTATAAATGTGAGTTAAGAGTTAACACGAGCTAAGAGTAAAAACGTTAGCAGCTTAAAAGAGGGAAGTAGGAATGCTCGGATGGAGTTCCACCAGGTAGAAAAGACAAGTCATACCTCATTGCTCCCAACCCCCTCCCTCCACCCGGTTGCCTACTTTAACCAAGCCCCGAAGCACCCAGCAGTCTTGGCGCACAGGGATGACATCAGCCCTAACCTCTTGCTCCACTGCTCCTACTTCTGAGCTGCTAGCAGCTTCTCCCCTCCTTAAAAAAAAAGGTCTGTTGTTCTCTTGGAGTTCAAGAGGCATCCTCTTCACCGTCTCCTCTGTTTTTGCTAGCTAATTAGCTCTTACAAGAAGGAGCACAAGCCAAGTTCAGCTCTATCATCTCCTCTTTAAGACACCTCACCTCTTTGAAGCCATTCAGGAGAGCTAGCACGCTTCACGTCTAGACGTCCCCCGCCCCCCTTTTTTTTTGCGATTGTCTCTTCAAACTCATCATACGTATTTAACTCACCAAACCTTACCAAGCCGAGTGCAGGTTTTTAAACCCCATGAGTCACCTTGGCCTTTTTCCATCTTCCAGTTGAGCTCTCCAACAGTCTTGACGTGCGGATGCGTGCAAACTGCTCCTTGAGCCAGGACCATTTCTCCAGGAGATAACTTATGCTACAACACTCTCCGCTCGACGATCTCAATGTGGAAAGATCCACAAAGCTGTCCCACTCATCATAGTTGTAGAAGATATCATCCTCATACTGCATCTGCAACCTTGCTCGAGCCCAAGCCTCCACCATCGCAAGCTTCTCCCTCATCTTGATCAGCTCACACTTGAGGCGGCAAAACAAGTCCAGGTCCTGAGGAACAACAATGGAATACACCTTTCCCGGGTACCTGTCTCGAAACCTGTGAAAGTACAGTGGACGATGTGGTGTTTCAGATCACAGCGGAATGATAACTTGATGAAAGCAACAAAACCATCGAGCTCGCTCTTTGGGGATCAATTATCATCTCCTCCTTTGAAGCAATGAGCAGTAGGCCTTGATCACATCCAGAAGTACTAGAGATTGCAAAAGCAAGTTTGACACCAGTTATTTTGGCAACACAGAAGAAAAAGGAGAAAAATAAACTCAAGTTTCAAAATTTATAGAGATCCATACAATCCAAATCAAGATCAATCCTCCACAAACTTAATGCCGCTTTCAGCACCTCCAAGCTCTGCCGAAAAACGTAGCCATGGTATGCCACAATCGTTCGCTTGAAAATCTGAAGATGTCAATCGAAGCATGTAAGCAAAAACATGAAGTAAAGAAGCGCAGGTGGACAACAAAGGAGATGAACTGAGCGAGGCCAAGAACACATATAAGGACTGAATGTAAGCACGTGAGGCCTCGCGTGGTTTTTTCCTCCGTGTGTGGCTTCATGTGCGAAGAGTTTGGTGTGGTAAGGTATGTTGCAGAGCAGCCAGAAGCCCAGGGTGAATATAAGTACGTGAGGCCTTGTGAGGTTTTACCACCGCCCGAGGACTCCTGTGCATGGGCCCCGGGCAAGAGTCATTTGCGAAGCTGTTCTGCATGAAACTGGTGCCCTCCCATGAAGAGCATTTTTTATTTAATTTGTGTAGAGTGTGGTTTATTTTTGCATATTGAGTGTATTGATATCTTTTTGTTAGCAGATTCTATTGAAGAACTGAAGACTACCTACAGTTAAGTGCATGCAGCAACAAATCATATAAAAAATGAGTGCAGAGAATAACAAATCGGGATTTCTAGGAAGTTCGTGCGTGTTATTAGTAATAATAATAATAATCATAAAAATTTGATGTTCAGCCAGTCAGAAGATTGTCTGAAAATTATGCATGTACTGATTCTTCAGCTCTTGAGCAACTGATTGCTACTGGCTCACTTTCTATATATATCCAAGAGATTTTTTTTTAACAATAATGCTGCAGTTAAGCTGTGACATTGTAAAGTTTAAAAAGGAAAAGAATTGGAAAAAGAAAAAACAGAAAACACGACTACAGTTAAGTAATAACAAATCGGGATTTCTAGGGTATGCGTGCAGCACTAGGGTTTGTGTGGTGTGTGTGTCATTTCTCAACAATCTCATGGAGTTCAGGGATCCCACTTTCTGGTGGGACAGCAGGTTCAAGAAGAAAAACAAGTTCTTCTCAGAGTCCTACCCGGATTTCAAACATGTTTCTACCGGAGAGAGCCTGTGGATCGCCAACAGGAAAACACCAACCTGGGTCTCTGCAAAACTCGAGTCGCTCGCTGACCCATCTGTAGGTAAGGCCACCACGGCCCGCTACAAATCTCCACATACCCCACCTGTAGCTGGTGATGAACCGGTGAGTTTAGGGAGGCTGATACACCGCGTGAGAAACTCAGCTGAGAGCAGATCCCTTTCTTTGGGAAAACAAGCCCATGAAGCTGTGCTCAAGAGTGATGAGCACAAAAGCAACATCTACTTGTTGACGGGATTGATCGATATGTACTGCAAGTGTGGCGAACTTGAGGAGGCTCGCAAGATTTTCCACTCCATGGGAACCCGGAGTGTTGTGTCCTACAACGCGATCATCCAGGGCTGCGGCTCGAACGGGCAACCTGAACTTGCTCTGGAGTACTACTCTGCCCTGAGAGCTTGTACCACCATTCAACCCAACGGTCGGACACATGTCGCGGTGATCAGCGCCTGCTCCAAACTTGCTACCGAATCCAGCGAGAAGAGGGAGAGAGCTCTACGCATCGGGATGGGGATCCATTCAATGCTGAGCAAGGAGAAGAAACAGGTAGATCTGTTCGTGGCGACTTGCCTGGTAGACATGTACTGCAAGTGTGGCGAGCTTGAGGAGGCTCGCAAGATTTTCCACTCCATGGGAACTCGGAGTGTTGTGTCCTACAACGCGATCATCCAGGGCTGCGGCTTGAACGGGCAAGCTGAACTTGCTCTGGAGTACTACTCTGCCCTGAGAGCTGATAACACCATTCAACCCGACGATTGGACACATGTCGCGGTGATCAGCGCGTGCTCCAGACTTGCTACCGAATCCAGCGAGAAGAGGGAGAGAGCTCTACGCATCGGGATGGAAGTCCATTCAATGCTGAGCAAGGAGAAGAAACAGCTAGATCTGTTCGTGGCGAATTGCCTGGTAGACATGTACTGCAAGTGTGGCGAGCTTGAGGAGGCTCGCAAGATTTTCCACTCCATGGGAACTCGGAGTGTTGTGTCCTACACCGCGATCATCCAGGGCTGCAACACGAACGGGCGAGCTGAACTTGCTCTGGAGTACTACTCTGCCCTGAGAGCTTGTACCACCATTCAACCCAACGATCGGACTCATGTCGCGGTGATCAGCGCCTGCTCCACACTTGCTACCGAATCCAGCGAGAAGAGGGAGAGAGCTCTACGCATCGGGATGGAAGTCCATTCAATACTGAGCAAGGAGAAGAAACATCTAGGTCTGTACATGGCGACTTGCCTGGTAGACATGTACTGCAAGTGTGGCGAGCTTGAGGAGGCTTGCAAGATTTTCCACTCCATGGGAACTCGGAGTGTTGTGTCCTACACCGCGATCATCCAGGGCTGCAACACGAACGGGCGAGCTGAACTTGCTCTGGAGTACTACTCTGCCCTGAGAGCTGATAACACCATTCAACCCGACGATCGGACTCATGTTGTGGTGATCAGCGCCTGCTCCACACTTGCTACCGAATCCAGCGAGAAGAGGGAGAGAGCTCTACGCATCGGGATGGAGATCCATTCAATGCTGAGCAAGGAGAAGAAACAGCTAGATCTGTTCGTGGCGAATAGCCTGGTAGACATGTACTGCAAGTGTGGCGAGCTTGAGGAGGCTCGCAAGATTTTCCACTCCATGGGAACTCGGAGTGTTGTGTCCTACACCGCGATCATCCAGGGCTGCAACACGAACGGGCGAGCTGAACTTGCTCTGGAGTACTACTCTGCCCTGAGAGCTGATAACACCATTCAACCCGATGATCGGACTCATGTCGTGGTGATCAGCGCCTGCTCCACACTTGCTACCGAATCCAGCGAGAAGAGGGAGAGAGCTCTACGCATTGGGATAGAGATCCATTCAATGCTGAGCAAGGAGAAGAAACAGCTAGATCTGTTCGTGGCGAATTGCCTGGTAGACATGTACTGCAAGTGTGGCGAGCTTGAGGAGGCTCGCAAGATTTTCCACTCCATGGGAACTCGGAGTGTTGTGTCCTACACCGCGATCATCCAGGGCTGCAACACGAACGGGCGAGCTGAACTTGCTCTGGAGTACTACTCTGCCCTGAGAGCTGATAACACCATTCAAGCTAATGCTTGCACCTACACCTGCGTCCTTGTTGCTTGCGGGAGTGTGATGGCGATCAAGCTCGGGAGGGAGATTCACCAAGTGGCGAAGCATAAAGGGCTGCTGAAAAACGATCCAGTTCTGGGCTCCAGCCTGGTGAGCTTCTACGGCAAATGCGGCGATGTTGATTCTGCTCAGGAAGCGTTTGACGAGTGCCGAGCTCGGGACGACACGGGTCTCTGGAACTCTCTCATACAGGCTTACACTCTCCAGGGCCGATCGATTGAGGCCTTGGAGCGTTTCTATTCCATGACTCAGGAGGAGGGCTGTAAAGCTGACGATGTGAGTTTTGTCTTGGTGTTGAACGCTTGCAGCCATGGTGGTCTGGTCGGGAAAGGAAGGCAGCTTCTGGATGAAATGCCCAAGCAGTTTGGAGTCAAGCCACGTCTGGAGCATTATGTGTGCCTGATCGATATGCTCGGGCGAGCTAACCTCCTTGACGAAGCTGTGAGAGTTCTCAGAGCCATGCCTTTTGAACCGGATGCAGTGGTTTGGACGTCCCTGCTCGGAGCCTGCTGGAAGTGGAAGAATTACACGATCGGCAAACTCGCGTTTGAGCGTCTTGTGGAGATGGATCCCAAGAGCGGCACGCCCTACGCATTGATGGCCAATATATTTGGAAACCTGGGGATGCTCAGTGAAAGGGCCGCTGTTGTGGAGAAAATGAGAGGTGAAAGCAGCTTCAGGGAGCCTGGGAGAAGCTGGTGGACGGATGTTAGCTCAGGAAAAGTGCATTCTTTTTCTGTCGGGGATAGGAGTCACTCACAGAGCGACGAGATTGCGGCCGAGCTCAAGCCATTGTTGCTGAGAATGAAAGAGGAGGGGTACGCGAGCGATGTGATCAACGTTCTAAAAGACATACCCGAGGAAGAGAAAGAGGATCACCTGTGCGGCCACAGTGAGAAGCTTGCGCTGGGGTGTGCTCTGGTGAACTCGCACCAGAAGGAGACCATCAGAATTGTGAAAAATCTCCAAGTTTGTGACGATTGCCATGCGGCCACTGCTCTCATCTCTAAGCTGGAAAAAAGGCTAATCATCTGCAAAGATGCCAGTCGGGTTCATGTGTTCCAGGATGGCAGATGTTCCTGTGACAACTACTTTTGAAAACATGTCAGTGCTCTTTCTTGCAGTTATACCTGGTTTTAAACCCTCCGTGAGTCAAGCAGAAACATGGGCCGCTGAGTGAGCCGTCAACCTGAACTTCACGGAGAAAAAATTAACATTTAAAAGTTAAAACTATGCAAAAGGAGGATGACACGCTGTCTTAAATTTAAATTTCATTTTGATAGAATCAGGGAATGCTGACTAAACCTGCCAACAGGTGCCCCAAAACGGAGCGCCCAGATTCAGATAATAAGCCTTAGTATGAAGACTTGCCGGTACCCAAACTCTTTGCTGATAGCAAATACCGCCTCATGTTCCGGGAGCAAGGTGATGGCGGCTTGCAGCATGACCAACTTTGGGTTTGTGCTCCTAGAGCACGTTGAAGACGTGGAAGCTGGTGACGACGGCATTTGTTTCTTGCGACGTACTCACCAGTTCCTCGGCGACATCTTCCAGATTTTTTGAGCTTGTCGTGAGTGGTGACCTGCTTGCTCTCTCCTGTGAGCTAATTCTCAACGATTTGTGCATCTGCTGGTTGATACACACACACACACACACACTGTGTATGGCTAGCTCCATCCACAAGAGAGCCTTGAGGTTGGGCACCAGAGGCTGGAAGAAGTCGAACAAGTGTGTATCATAGGCTTAGTACGTAGTGTACTAGTGTACATGTACATGTGTTTCAGCTAAATATAATGGGCCAAATACACCGAAAAGTGTGTATAAAAAGAGTAGAAACAAATTAAGAAATGTAAATTAAGAAGTGCAAAAGAAATGAAAATAAAAATTGTCCATCCTCATCAGTTTGCTGAAATTAAGTTGGATTCAATTCTTCCAGCTCCAAATATTGTGTGATTGAGTTGTAAGTTAATTAATAGTAGAAAATAAGAAAAAAAACAAACATTGAAAAAATAGTGTTTGATAATATCTTCTTTGCTTTTAGTTTTTAATTTTCGAAAGACATTAGTGGGGGAGTGCTGGTAAAGATATCTTGGCCGTTCATTGGTGGATAATTAAATGAGCATGTTTAGAGATGTTTATAAGAGTTTAGCTCTGGACCAAGAGTTACCCGAAAATTAAAGTTCAAAATTTAGCACAATAACTTAAGCTAAAGTAATGTACTTACCCTTATTTTTTATGGGAAAATTATTAGTATTTTGGATTCGCACGAAAAAAAAAGGCGAATTTAGAGGATTCTAAAGTAATTTTCAAAAACCCCGACCAAATCTAAAGTGTTGGGGTCATTTTATTTTAAGGGAAGTTAAAAATTATTCCGGAAATATTCGAGAAGATCTTAGGTAAGGCTTTCGCAGAAGATCTGATCTCGCGGCAGGGTCCGATTTTAGGGTTGGAAGAGGAAACAGAGCTCTGGGAAATGGGGCCGATCGAGCTGGATCTGGGCCTGCTCGTGCTCTATCTTCACCAACAGGAGGAGGAAGAGGTGCCCATGGAGGGAGAGGTGGCCATGGAGTGGGAGGAGGGCGCGGGGTGGCCGGGGTTGGCCGGGGTTGGCCGCGGATCTCTGAATCTGGCCCCGGGAGGATTAGGCCATGGTTCTGAGGCGGCTCGAGGAGGGGGTGCCCCGGGAGGAGGAGGCCATGGTTCTACTCTAGGAGGAGGACGCCGCGGTTCTTCTCCGGGAGGAGGAGGCCATGGATCATCGCCAGGAGGAGGCCAAGACTCGGTGGGAGGAGCCGAAGCCACAGCGGGAGGAGTCCAAGCCGCGCCCGGAGGAGCCCAAGCCACGTCCGGAGGAGTTCCCCTGGAGCACAGCGTGCCGGGAGCTCCAACTGCTTTGAGAACCAGAGATGGCTTTGAGTTTACATTTCTTAGGTTGCATGCATGCATGAGTGATTGAGAGCTCCCGGCGGGGTCATGAAGAAGAGGGAGATGACAGCATCCCCGATCTGGAACAAGACCCGGATGCTCACATGGAGGAGCTCGACGACGAGGCTGTCCAGTTTGTGGATACCTTGGGTTTTGCTGCACCTGCTGCTGCGAAGAGAACCCGGGGAAAGAACTGGAACCATGCTGAGACCATGCTCCTGATTGATCTCGTTCGGGAAAAACATCTCGCGAAGATTGCGGGGGAGGGAGGAGCAGCCAGCATGTTCTCATGACGAAGACACAGCGCTGGAATCTCATCTTTCACCCTTTTGCTTTAGGGTTTAAATGCACATTGCGGATGACAAGAGCCCCGCTGCCTGAGGAAGAAGACCGTGAACTTGAGGTTCGTCGGGCTGTGATTGGGAGGAGGTTTTGCATCGGCCTGTGGTGGGTGAAGCCTCGAAATGTCACCACCTGGAGTAAGTTTTCTTTGGAGTATTACGATGTGGGGAGGTGGAAGAGGAAACTTCAGATGGAGAAGAGGACCTTCTTCACCATTTGTGGCATGCTGGAGAGCGAGATCCGGAAGCAAGATACCGGTTGGAGGAGTGTGTTGCCGGTGGATGTTCGACTGGGGGTGACTTTGTACAAGCTTTTCAAGAACACAGATTACTTGGATCTGGTGGACAAGTTCAGCATCGGGGAGTCCACAGCTCATGAACACTACTGTGGTGATTGTCAAGTGTCTCAGGTACAGGATTCATTTTCCTTCAACCGCCAAGGAGGTTCGAGCTGTTGTTGCTGGCTTTCGACAAGTGACAGGTACATTTTCTTATGTTTTTTGGATTGTTATAAGTTTTCATGAGCAATAGGAACCCGACTGCCTAATGTTGCTGGAGCGATCGACTGTACTCCGAGATCATCCGACCTACTAGACTGGACGGCGAGAGCTACTACGATCGGAAGCAGCGGTACTCGGTCATCTTGCAAGGGGTTTGTGATGCCCAGAAGAGGTTTCCTCAGTGTCTACGCTGGGTGGCCAGGTATGTTTCTTTGTGTGTTGTGGATGGTTCTAAAATGTTTTTTTTTGCTTTCAGGACGCGTCCACGACATGAGGGTTTTTCGTAATTCAGCCCTCAGGAACAAGATTGTAGCAAGGGAGCTGCTGACATCGCCCGCGGTGTTAGCATATGATGATAGGATCAAGCCATACCTAGTGGGGGACAAAGGGTACCAACTCCAGCAGCATCTGATGATTCCACACACAAGTAAGTCTTCTTCATTCTTTCTTTTGTTCACTTGTTTTGGTTGTTGCTCAGCTCTGAACCCGACACCATCCAAGGCAGCTTTCAACCTTCATCACCACCTTGCTTGGATTGTTATTGAGCAAGCATTTGGACTTCTTAAAATGAAGTTCAGATGCTTGGATAAAAAACAAAGGATCCAGCCAAAGTACCTTCCCAACATCATCAAGAGTTGTTGCATCTTGCAAAATTTCTTGATTGATGTTGGGGAGACTGATCTTCAGGCGGAGATCCAAGCTTGGAGGAAAGAGGTGAAAAGGCTCAAGGACCAGGTACCTCTTTGTCGATTACGGTGATCCCGAGCAAGCAGAAGGGGAACCTCGTGAGGAGTTGCACAGTCCAGAGGATGCAAAAGAGGTTAGAGAGAACCTCACGTTTTCCCTGTGTCTTTGCCAGTGGCGTTCGTGTTTGCTTTGAAATTTGCTATGTGTGAACCCAACTTTCTTAATTTTTAAAGTGGGTCTCTTAAGTTTTTTTTCACTAAATAAATGTGCGAATTGGTCCTTTCTCAACATAAAAGATAATGTTTTGCCAAGCTTACCAACCTTGATTGCCAATGATGTCTTTGGCTGTGGTATCTATAACCATACAGCTAGGGCCAAAGTTACACCACCAATGGCCCATAGCAAGCACAGCCATGGTGGCACAAGGTCTTGGCCATGGCTAGCACTACCTTGGCTGGCCTTAGCCGTGGCGAGCTACCTCAAAAACTCCTCTACACCATCACTCTTAAGTTCCTCACCCTTGAGCCTCCCTTTGACCGATGTTGACCATGTGGTCAAAGCTAGCGCCTAACAAATTGCCACACTTTGTTGTAATATATCCCCAACATTAGCACTCAAAACATTGAGGTCTTCTACCATACCCCCCAAACACAAGCATGCTTACTATAGTAATTTCCATGATCATTATAACCACCTAAAGTAATTGCCATTTGCTCTTCAAATGCTTCTCTAGGTTGAGATAAGCCATCCATATGTTCATCTTTTCCATTTCTTCTCGATAAATTATGTTCTCCAATGCCCTATAAAAAAGGATTGTAACACCTAAAGAAAAATAGAATCAAATGCGAGTAGAGTGTTACCTTTCAGCCACTGCTCGCACCTTGTCCAGGTCCGCAAGACACTATCAATAAGCCATGCATTTGATTCACATGTAGCTACTATTTGGTGACGCTGCTACAAGCCTTTCAAAGTCGTCCTTGGTCTCTGGAGGCTGGTCCTTCTGTAATAACTTCTCTTTTGCTGCAGCCTCCCTGTTGAGAAGCAGGACATGAGAAGAGTAAATATAAACAAGAAGTAACTCTGCTCTTTCAAGTCAATTGGCACTGTATCCTCAACGTCTTTGTTGAGAGTGGATCCACATGCATAGCTGTGGGAATCGTTTTGATGCCAGATCCAAGTAGTCCTCCTCCTCCCTCTCATCATTATCCATGAGCACATTTGTGTTCGAAGGCTCTTCATTTATAGCTTCTTCCTCCATCGGCTCGATTTCCTCAGGGGTCAGATATGACACTTTCATTCCAAGAGATATACGTTTGGTTTCCGCATCAACCTGTAGAGGGAAATCATAACCCTGTGGTTTTACTAAAGCTTTCGTTCTCACCTTTAGAATCTTTACTTGAACCCATTGGCCGACTTTGTAAAGTGTTGACAAGTCTTGAATAAAATCGTAAGACACTTCAGAGACATGACACAAGCAACCTGGAGCACAGACTAAGAACTTGAAACCAAGATAGAGAGAGAGCTTGCCACATCGCTCTTGGCAAGGCTGATGAAGATCCCAAATGCTTCAATGTTGTGTATGCGGCCACTAACGATCTCTCCAGCACCAAACTTCTTCCAGCCACTTGAATCTTGTGATGTTGTTGCCGTCAAAGACATTTCAATGTGCCCAGACAATGGCTCGATGCTTAAAATTCTGACAAAGAAGAAGATATCAGCAAACACTTCCATACGGAGAAAAGTTTATACCTTCCTGATATCACCTTGCCTGATGGAAACATTTCTGCAGGGTTTTGTACAAACGAGTTCGATAGGTTCTTCAGTTGAATTCTAGCTTCAAGTGAAGGTGCCAGGACCACAAAACAACCTTTCTCCGTCACATTCTTGACAAAACCCTGCAACACAAAAACAAGTCACGTCCACAGCATGCAAGGTTTCTGCTTACTTGCACTTCATATCTTGCTTAAGTTCCAACACGGAATTGACAATACGAGCATTGGATGCAGAGTCAAAAAAATTTAATGCAAATCTCGGAAGTTACCTTTCAAGTGTTTGATAGCTTGGAAGGGACTCAAAACCACCACGTCCACCAACTTACTGAAAGTTCCAAGCCCATCTTTCCCCTCCCTGGTCGTTTTAAATCCAAGACCTTACGAACTGTCCCTCTGTAAATAAACTGGCTGGGTCATCAATCCATGTATCGTTACATGAACTTTTCCGAAACTTTCTCATCTGCCTTGCACAGTATGTCCGCCAACACCAGCAAAAACTCGTGTGATTCGTCGGCCTAACAGGTCGCCTTTCTTGAATTGTTTGTCACTTGTTTTCGGGTGTAGAGACAAATCCACTTGCTTCCTTTCGTGGTTAACACTTCTTATATGGCACTGGAACGGGTCACCGACTTTGAAGCGCTCTTTAAAACGTTCAAGCTCCGAGGGATCGTCAGACGTGTCCAGTATAAAAAGGCAGCCTTTAAGATGGGGTGAGAGGACTAGCCATGTCCAGTTGTCCTTTACTTCTTGAACGTATCTGATAACCGACTGTTCAATGGTTACGGTCTCAAAAGTAATCACTGAGCATGCAGCATCGTTTCCTGCAAGTCATGATAAGTAAGTTAATTCAAAGGGACACCATACAGACCTGCAAGCTCAGATGGACGTAGAGATAAATCCAAAGTGGCAGCATTTCTGTGCTTTCTGCTGGTTTTGCGTTTTGAAAGGATTTTAGCTCGAACAGTCTGCCCAACACTGTATTTTCTCAATGGGTTCCCTTCTTCATAATGATCAAGACATTTGAGGAGTTAAAAGACAGACTGGAAAACAGAAACGAACCTCTGTAATGTGCACATTCCCACGCAAGGAGCAGTGGCTGTCCATGGGACATGGCTTGTCTGCCAGTCCTAGAACTATTGAGTGTTGCAGCCTCCATGAGGCGATTTCTTGGGTGATTTGTGACCTGTGCAGTATGAGAAAGAAGTGACGATTCACACAAGAATTCTAGAAACATGGAACTCAATCTTGGAAATGTGATCATGAGCATAGCAGGAAGTTTTGAGCAAGAGGACCTTGGTCTCTTGGAATGCAATGATCACTGCAAATGCCTAGAATGGGTGTCTTTTGAAAGTGCTTAAGCTGTTGGATTTCATTCCGGCACCTTTTGTGAATGCATTGATCACCACCCATGGCAGATCAAGGATCCTAGCTCAAGCAAGAAACATGTTTGATCAAATCTTGTGCAAAACTGTGAGCTCCTGATCACCCATAATCTAGCTGTAAGCCCAGTAAGGACAATCCAGCAAAACCTGATTAAATCTTTGCAGAACTTACCTTTATCAGTGTCTTAGCCACGCCAGCCTAACAAGCAAGATCCAGGAGAACTTTTGTATCAATCACTACAGCCACTTGATTATATTGTTGCCCATTGCATGGAGAAGAAGCTCAAACTTCTTCTATCACTGTGATACTCTACTATGAGGAGCAAGTAAAAAGTTCCTTGTTTTCTGTTTATGGACATGCTACACATCCAAAAAAAGTGAACTTTTTGACTAGTAATAATGTTCTTAAAGGAAAGTTTGCAAGATTTTAGTATTGCAATAGTGTAACTCTCCACCTAGCAACTCTTATTTTCCTCTAGTGCCCAACTCCTCTAGTGGCTGCTACTTTCCTCCAATGCAACATATCTCCTCCCTCCAACACTCTTCCTGTAGCAACTCTCCTCCATGTCCTCTAGTGCTCCTCTTGCACCAACTCTCTTCCACATTGTACTTTTGCCAGTCCTACTCTTGGATTTTTCAGTTTTTTTTTAATTTTCATCAAATTATTCTTTCTCACCCTTTAGCTTCTCCAAAACCCCTTGTGCATTGAGTCTCCTCCAGCTCCTCCAGCACTCCTCCTATAGCAGCTCTCCAGCTCCTCCAGCACTTCTCCTGCAACAGCTCCCTCTAGCACTCCTCCTACAACAGCTCTCCTCTAGCTCCTCTAGTAGATGGCTATGGGGGTGGTTGGGTTCAAGAGGAGGTGTAGTTTAGTCTAGAAAGACTAGATTGTTGATTTTTTGTGCTAGGTCATAACATTGGTATTAGAGGTGTTGGTTGTGATGGCCAACTAAATTGAACGCTGAAATCCTATTGTCGATGGTGGTGTTAATGATGGTGCTGATGGAGCTGTGAAGGTTTGGACCATGGAAGATGTTATTCACAAGCTGCGAGCCCTTAAAAAAAATCAGCAAGAGATGCAAAACAAGATGTATGGCATGATGAGTACCTTGCGTGAGCGTGTTGAGGCACTTGGGGCTGGTTGTGGTGGCACTCCAAGTAAACCTTCCTTGGTGGATCGACTTAAGATTCTAACGTTTTTCGGTGATGGTGGTGTGGATGAGTGTCTAGCTTGGCTAGCCAATGTGAAGAAGTTCTTAATTGTTAGAAGAATTCCGGATGCAAAGGCTTTAGTGGCTATTCCAATAGTTTTGTGTGATGTAGGTTTTCGATAGTGGAATTGGCTTGAGGAGTCTTGTGCTGCGGATAAAAAACCATTAGTGTCTATGATGGATGCGTTTGAGGCTGCTTTCCATTTACGTTTTGCCCTTCACTATGACATGGAGAATGTTTACACCAAACTTTGACATTTTCAGCAAGGGAAAATGAAGCTTGGGGACTATATTGAGAAGTTGACTCACTTGATTAGCCGTATTCTAACGAAGGATCCAGATTAGAACAAGTCTTACTTCATTGATGGCCTTCATAGTGAGAGCATGTGGCAACACTTGCATCATTTTTAGTCTATAAAGAGTTTGGAGGAGCTCTTTGATGCTACTCGTCGACTTGACAATGACAAGTATAAGTCTCACAAGCGTTCGAGGAGTCCTTTTATTGAGAATCGTCGTGATGATCATTGTGGACACAAGGATGGGAATAAACATCACAAGCTGAAGTCTATAGTGGCTACTTCGGGTACACAGGGGTCAAAGAAGTAGAAATTCTTTGTAAAAAATTATAGACAAAGTTGTCATCATTGTGGCAAGCTGGGACACTACAAGGTTGATTGTCCACAATGAAGAGCAAACAACATAACAACAAGAATGGCCAATCTTCTACTAATGGTAAATTAGATATTAAAAAGTTGCAAACTTTGCAATGCAAGGATGACGAGGATGACCATTCTGGTTGAAGGAAGAGGCTTTTGATTGTTACTCATCAACTTAACTGTGTGTGGAATAAAATGAAGGTCAATGACACTCATGCATCAGCTTTAATGCTAAAGGATATATTTTGTGGCGATCTAA